GAGTGTCTCCTTGAGAGTGGGGAGAGCCCTGCCCTCAAGGAAAGACCCATTAATTATAGCTGTGGCCCATTCAGTTGTTATAGGCCTGGCGGCTTTGATTAGCCAGGCCGGACAAGGGTAATGAGATGAGGTGGTGGCCCGATAGTGGTCTACTGCTTTGACCACAATATCTGGCATCACAGGCTGAAAGAGATTGAGACTCTCCGGGCAAGGGGGAGTGCTGGACATCTCTGCTCGATCCACTGTATCCAAAAAAGGAGAAAGCTCTCAGCGGATGGCCTCCACTTTTGATTTTAAAAATGCTGCATATTGGTTGGGTGAGATAGTAGAAGAAGGCCCATCACTTAGAACAGTTCTGGATAGGTCGCAAACTATATGGAAAAATTCCACCTGCTGATTTGAAGCCTCTCTTATCCAGTCAGCGAGGTGAGCTCAACTAGCAGCCCTTATCTTGGCAAGGTAAAGGTTAGTCGTGACCCTGACAGCTTCCTTATTATATTCCGTTTCCTTCTTCACTTGCACTCTAGCCTTCTCCTAGTTTGCTTCATCGCTCGTAGTTCCTGATTAAACCAGGATGCAGGCCAAGCTCATTGGAGAGGGCGTTTAGGAGCTATCATGTCAACAGCCCTAGTGGCAGCTGTAAACCAGCCTTCAACCAGAGCCTCGACAGGAGCACCAGCCAGATCTGCCGGAATCCCTCTCATGGTATCCTGGGATCCTATAGGATCCACTAGCCTTCAAGGGCGGACCATTAAAATAGACCTTTGCTCCCTGCGAGGTGGGAGTGCCACTGAGAGGTTACATTCTATTAGGTTATGATTGGACCATGACAAGGGATCGGACCACCATGAGACCACGCTCACTCCAATTGGTGGAAAAAAAACAGGTCTAGCATATGGCCTCCCACATAGGTGGGGCCGTTAACATGTTGGGACATATTCAAGGAAGCCATGGTTTCCAAGAACTCAAGAGCCAGACCAGAAATCTCCGCCTCCGCATGTATGCTGAAATCATCCAAGACTAAAAGCCTTGGGAATTCCAGCAATGACATGGAGACAAAGTCCACCAGCTCTGGTAAGGAGTTGGCTGGGTCGCGGAGAGCACAGTAACCTACCAAAATCCCAATACCATCCGTGGCCCCTATTGACACGTAGAGGGCTTCCAAACCTATCTTCACCACCGCGGAGCACCTAGTAACCTCCAGGGTATTTTTACATACAATGGCTACTCCCCCTGTCCCTCCAGTCTACCTTGTTGCTGGACAGCATAACCGGGAGGACAGGCAAGGGTCAAGGGTGGACCCCATTCCCCACCAATCCACGTTTCGGTTATGCATGCCAGGTCTGCATCCTCTTTCAGAATAAGATCATAAGTAATCTGGAATTTATTAGATACAGACCTGGCATTCAACAGCACCAATTTTAGAGTGGAGGGTTGGCAGTTCTGGCTGCCTCGATGTTAGCAGTTGGTCAGAGTCCCAGAACGGTGTACAGCTTTCAAACATCTGTAGCATTTCTACCAAAAACATCTTGCTTTTGGCTAGTATGATTGCCTATATTGGTCCTGTGGGACAGCTGCTGGAAATGTCTTGATGATATCATTAATGATGTGCAGAGTGGAGCATGGTGTAGGAGTGAACACTATTCTTTTGCCTGCCTTCTGCTTGAACTGGTAAGGACTACAACTACAATACAATTTATAAGCTGAATTAGAAAAATATTCTCCTAGTTTAGTGTTAAAGTTAGCACTAGCGCGCTAAATTGATATAGCACAAATTAAAGCGTGCTGCATATATACCACCCCATAGAGCTTCAAGTACTCTCTGGGCCGTTTACAAGTTAATTATGCAGGCTACAAATTAAACTGCTTATTATGTCTTGTCATTTTGATGCTGTTACGCTTGCCACACATTTTTTAAAAGAATGGATTTGAATGTTTTTCAAAAGAAGTAGGTAAGAGGCTAATGATAATAGGAGAGAAGGGTGAGGGGAAGGGGGAGTGTGTGGAATATGGAGACTTGGAACTCGCCCTCTTGGGATAATTAAACATTTCTGTATGAACAATGATGGTGATTTAAATACCATGGTGCAGTATTGAAATGTTTGTGTCAACTAGGATAAACTTGTGTTCATACCCTATGGTAGCAAATTAATGCTAATTAACGAGTCACTGCTTGTATCCTTCATTGCATACTAGTCTCACAAGTTGGTGGGTGACAGTTCACAAGGGGCAATTTGTTAACTGGTGGCAATTCACCTCTGCAATTTATACCATTGCACTTATGCTAATGTAACTAAACGAACAGATTATGGCCAAAATATAAACTGCAAACACATTTTTTCCTGTGCTGGATGAAGTTAAAAGAAAATAAGGATAAATTAAAGAAGAATAAAAAAGTTTCATTAATCTTTCAGTAAGAGTATCAGGAATAGCATGTATGCTGGTATAATTAGAAAAGGATTAAAAGAACAGTGAGAGCAGTAGAGAAACTAGATGCATGTCTATTGAAAGCAAGGTGGTGATAACCCTCAAATCCTACAGGAGAAATATAGTAAATGAGCTCTGTGTCTTGGTGCTCTTTAGCTATTTTCCTATGCACAGTTCATCTCAAATGCTGGCTGCAATGTAAGCATAACAAAAGATAATGCACACTTGTGCTTTCTAGAATGGTAAGGGATTTCAGTTGCCCAAAAGCTGTTCAATCCATATCACAAAGACGGCAATGAAAGTGCTCTATGGAGAAAATATTTTATTCTCAGAGCTGTAAATGAATGGAATCCCTATGCAGATTCCAATTCTTAACTATACTGCTGGAAAATTATCATTCTATGGCCTAAATCCTGTTGGGTGAGGTCTATGTAAGCAACAAGCATAACGTCATCATCAATGGCAGATTGCTACAGATCAAAGGCTTCCTTTTGCTATTTCAGGGTGCACATGACTCTGTCACATTGTGTGTGAGTCATGCACACTCTGAATTAGAGAAGGAAATTTTAATCAGCAGCAATCTGCTGCCACCAATCTTGTGGCAGAGGCACAACTGTGCAACAGAATTTCAGAAAATATGCTAAAAGAAAATTCAGTTTTTCAGCACCACAAATGCCCAAGAGGCAGGCATCTGCATGCCTAGGGGCATAAGTAGCTTATGATTGGGACTCCTCCAGGAGCCTCCCCCCCCCCAGTTGAAGGTGACACATTCTTCCAGTTTGGACCATCAGCCACCCTTACCTGTGGGAAACCATAAAGTTTGCAATTATATTTTATTTTTCAGAAACAACATTTCTCAAAACAGCTCAGTGAGGGCCAGGCATGCTCAGTGCTGACTAATTGTTGAGCAGGTAGAGGGTGGTCAGAAAGTGAAATGGTAGTGGATGAAATAAAACATCTTGGCTAAGGACAAGGCTAGGAGTTCTAGAAATGTGAGCAGGAGCATGCTGTACTGCTATAGTTTTGTTACAGGTCTGACATTTCTAACACTACTAAGTTCTCAGATGACTTTCTGGCCATCTTTCTCTCATAGTGATTAGTCTTCAATCACTCTCAACACTGAGAAGAAGCCAAGAGGGCTGATTCCAGCTGGTATGCTCCAGTATGAGCTGGAGGTGGTAACCACATTTGAAGCAGAGTGCATGCAATGTTGCTGTGGTGAATGAAGGGTTAAGATCTGTAGGCAGGATCGTCTGCATTCCAGAGGCAATATGGGAGGGAAAAGATTTTGTCCTGGTGCCCATTAAGGCTGTACATTAGCATAACACTCAGTTGCACAAGGATAGTTGTTTTTCAAGATGTTATACCAAGATGTTCAATAATCTCAGCGACATAATGGCCTGGCTTACACACTTGTCCAGCCAGGAATGGCTCTGTTCTTCCTGCAAGCTGAGACACCAGTCATTAGCTTGCAGATCGCACCAGAAAGCTCTTTGCCACATATGAACGTCCTGTTACACTGCTGGCCCCTGTGCTGCTTCTGATCTCCTTCTCTCCAAAGCTACAGAAAGCTAGAGACTAAAAGTAAGACATTTAATATTTGGAAGAACATACCCGGTGCTGCCCCCTGCCCTCTACAGCACCCATGGTGAGATCACCACCAGCAGAACAGCAGCAGCGTCCGAAAGGGACTAAAATGTACAAAAGGGAGCACCCTGCGTTCATGGAACAGTGGTAGGATGGGGATAGGCATCTTCTCGGACCTTTCTCTTCTGCCCTTCTCCCCTATAAGCTCTTTTAAGTACACAAAAAGACACACAGCTACCTAGGCCTCTTCTCTTAAACTATCAAGGGTTGTTCCACACATGAAACATGCCATTCTCAAATAACATTTGTACAATCAAAATAAAAAAAATGCAAACATTATCTTAGTTGATGCTAAAAAGTGACTTGAGTGCAATGAGATGGCAATATAGGATAACTTTCAGTCATGATGGAAAGGGTTTCTTGGCTGGCTGCTATCTCCCTTAAGGTGACCTTTCCACACAGACGTGATCTTGTTCCAGTCTCTTCAGCCCAGCTCCTGAAAAAGAGTAGACTTGCCTCTGGATGAAAAAACATCTGGATTGGTCACAGAGTCAGATAAGTTCATGATTTCCTGTATGTTTATCTGGTCATCAGAAACTGGACTGTGCCACAAAAAGTGTAAAATGGAAATTATATTGCCATCTGATCACACCCTGGACTGATCCAGCAGCATGCTTTTTTTAAAACTCTTGTTATGAAGGTGGGCTGTCTACTGTCATAATGAGTACCTGCACTCTCAAATTTACCATGACACTGTTACTTATTCCACTTAAATGTTTGCTGGAGCTCATCATGCCTTGTGTGCTCTACATTTCTGCTGTCAAATGCCAAAGCCGGAATATCACGGCTCAAAAAATGTGTGCACATGCACCATGAAAACACACAAGTGTGTTGTAGTAGTGTGTGCTGTGCACATGCATTTTGTTCACAAACCATAATTATGCAGGTAAAACGTCACACACTGCTAGCTTCAAATAGGATCTTACCTGTTTGGTACCTGGCTGTTACTCTGATGGTGGTAGTAGTAAGAAAGAATCTAGGTCTGTCTTTGTCCTTCCTCTGGTGGCCAGAATATGAGTACTGCAGTAACCTAAGGTCAAATCAGGTGCCACAGTTGGCACGTCGTTAGAAGATGAAAGCGTGTTACTCAATCCCTCCTGAGCTTCTCATTTGAGCAATTACAGTACAAACAAAGAAGCCTGTGTTTAAATTTTCATGGCCAGTTACCAAAGAAAGTGAACTAATTGGCAATTGAAAATCAGAACAGCTCGTGAGATAACAACCAGTTGTCTTTTAAGCAGAGCTCAGAACATTACTTTTTAAAAATGTGGCAAACTTGCTTTGTTACTCTCTGTTTTAGATCAGCAGCAGACTACGGTCATTATGGGTACCCCGTTTGCAAAAGTAATTTTTTCTATTTCTCGTTACTAGCATGTTGCTGTCGCCAGTGCAGCCTTTGCAAAATACATGGAAATGTTTGCTGGTTCCCCCAAGTGTCCAATTTAGTTTATTGCACAATAAAAATATTGGGATAAACACAATACAAAGCAAAACCTCTCTTGGCATTATTCTCAGATGCCATGAACTATACTCCTCTACAATCCAACTGGAGATAGGGTGCTATTTGTAATTCAACATATTGAGACGGTGCCCAGTTGGCTGGAATTCTATAAACAGGCATTTCTTATGTGTATTAATTTATTGAACAAATAAACTTTTAAAAAAACCTGCATCCACTTGGCTCTTTCCTGAGTATATCCAATTAAAAATTACATTTGTGTTAGGTTTGGTGCCAGGTGGGATGGAAGAATGACAGGAGGCTTCCGAAATCAGTCTCCCGTATTGAGAAAATGTATACCTCTGGATGCCAGATACTTTGAACAACAAATATAGGAAGCTTTTGCTAGTGAATCTTTCTGATGTTCTACTAAGCCACAGTCTGATAACCTTAGATAATAGAAATTAATATCAAATACATTTTTATAGTTTTTTTTCCGTTTCCATGTATCCCTAAGATGATGTCTAAAATTCAACCCTATCAACCACCTCTGTCTCGGCCTTTTATGTGAGAATCCAAAGATGAACATGCGGGATGCAGCTCCTTGCTATCTCTCTCCCCACTGCACCTTGTTATGAAACATTTGCTGTTTCTTCAATGGGATTCCACCATTATTTTTCTCGTTGACACTTGGGATCTCCTTTTACCTTCTGCTTTATGGACAGGCCATGTCCCTTTCCAAACAAGCTTTGTGGAGACCACAGAGTGACTTTAGAAAGGAAACCATGCCTACGACTCTGCAAGAGCTGAGCAGGGCAGTGAATAATCAACAGCATGAAAGTCATTTATTCATAACCGTCGCCCTAAGTGGGAGACCACTTAAGGGTGACCTTAAAACTTCTGCCTGATTAGGAAAGGGAAGATGATTGTCACCTGCCATGACATCCTCTCTGATGTATAGCAATAAAAGACCGAGCAGAGCTTGGCAAAGTTACTTTTTTGGATTACACCTCCCACCAGTCTCCTAGCCAGTGTAGCCATAGGTCACAACAGACTCTTCTTCAGGTCCCACAGGAAATCAAAGATCTAATTACTGAAGAGTCACTTCAAGGGTTGATGGGTGACTACAATTGACATGGAGACAGCCCAGGCCCAAGAAAAACAGAATCCTCTGATGTCAGAATGAGGTCACAACCTGGAGAGCTTCTGTTTCTCTGCAAACGGAGAGGCAGTTAACAGTCAGGTTGAGCCTTCACCTGGTCAGGTTGGGTCTTCTTAGGAGGACAAGAGAAGGGTTGGAGGTGGGCTATACTAGCCCTTGAGAGCTACTGTAGCCTAGTGCAGTGGTCCCCAACGTTTTTGACACCGCAGACCGGTTGGGGGAGGATGGGGTCCTGCACATGTGCACGGTCCTGCACATGCGCAAAGGAGAAAGCCTTCGATAATCTCGATTGGAATTTTATGTTGCATTCGCTGGAAAATACAGAGTCAAATAGAACCGTGGCACAATTTTTCTTCTTCTCCTGAGTTCAGCAAGCTCTATTATCAGACTCACACGCAGTCCGCAATCCGACAGACAAAACAACAATCACCAAGTCTCAAACTGTCCAGTAGTTGTCTTTGAAGCCCGTCTTGCGATCTTCATTAACCCCTCGATACTCCTTAGTCCAGTTGACCACGTCAGCTCCCTTCTCCCGAGAACCAACAAATTCTATTATTTACAGTTCACAAAATCCAGGGAAAGGTGAAATGTGTCCCAGCCAAACCACATTCACCACACTCAAGTCTCTTAAATCCAGTCAGATGGGATTCTTTTCCAGAAACATAAGATTTATTTTTCCGTCTCACTCTCACGGCTTTAGAATCAGCCTGGTGTTTTAAGAGTTCATTTGGAGAAGCTTTGGTTTCGCTTTTGAGTCAGACTGATAAGATAAACCTGTGGCCACTTTTCTTCTTTCAGCCAAATATTTTCATTCTTATTTTCAGCTTAATGAGGCTGTTTCATAAATCAGAGGCTTCGGCTTACTTACTTGTTATATATTATTAGTTTATATTGATTGCTCTCCTCTCCCGCGGTAAAGGGTTCCTCGCGGCTCAGTGCCAAAGATGGCGCCCGCTCTGGTCCGTGCACTGTGATTTCTTCAGAGGGAAAAAGTCCGGGTCTGCCTCCCATTCTTCTCCTTCTGCCGCTCACCATCTGCTTCAGAGAGACTTCTCCTAGACTCTCCTTCTATCCCCATTTCGAAAGGGGGATCCCAGGCCGGACGGTTCCAGTTTTTTCCAGAGAGCTTCTTCTCTGGAGTTACTGGCAGCAGCGCAACAAAGCCCTGCCTCCTCGTTTGATTCCGTTTCCACAGGGTGGATGCAAGAAGAGCGACTGGCAGAGCGGGCGGTGAGGGAGAAGTAAACCCTTCCAGAGGCTACTTGGGACTTGCTCAGTTCCTCGGCCCTGGCTGGTGTCTTTTAGTGGTTTTTACACAGAAAAGTGAAATGAAGGCCCTCTTGTCTCTCCTTGCTATTCTTTGGTAGTCTGCATTCAATTTTCTGTAACTTTCCCTATCTCCCTTGCATTTTGTTTCCCTTCTCCTCTCTGCTATTTCTAAGGCCTTATTGGACAGCCACTTTGCTTTCTTGCATTTCCTTTTCTCTGGTATGGTTTTTGTTGCTGCCTTCTCTACAATGTTACGAGCCTCTATCCAAAGTTCTTCAGGCACTCTGTCCACCAAATCTAGTTCCTTAAATCTGTTCTTCACTTCCACTGTGTATTCATAAGGGATTTGGTTTAGATTATACCTGAGTAGCCCAGTGGTTTTTCCTACTTTCTTCAGTCTAAGCTGGAATTTTGCTATGAGAAGCTGATGATCAGAGCCACAATCAGCTCCAGGTCTTGTTTTGACTGACTGTATTGAGCTTCTCCGTCTTTGGCTGCAGAGAACACAATCAATCTGATTTCGGTATTGCCCACCTGGTGATTTCCATGTGTAGAGTCGCCTCTTGTGTTGCTGGAAGAGAGTGTTTGTGATGACTAGCTTATTCTCTTGGCAAAACTCTATTAGCCTTTGCCCAGCTTCATTTTGAACTCCAAGGCCAAACTTCCCTGTTGTTCCTTTTATCTCTTGACTCCCTACCTTAGCATTCCAATCCCCTAGAATGAGAAGAACATCTTTCTTTGGTGTCAGTTCTAGAAGGTGTTGTAAATCTTCATAAAATTGTTCAATTTCAGTCTCCTCAGCATTGGTGGTTGGTGCATAAACTTGGATTACTGTGATGTTGAAAGGTCTGCCTTGGATTCGTATTGACATCATTCTATCATTTTTGAGATTATAGCCCATTACAGCTTTTCCCACTCTTTTGTTGACTATGAGGGCTACTCCATTCCTTCTGAGGGATTCTTGCCCACAATAGTAGATATGATAATCATCTGAATTGAATTCACCCATTCCTGTCCATTTTAGTTCACTGATGCCCAGGATATCAATGTTTATTCTTGCCATTTCCTGATTGACCACATCCAGCTTCCCAAGGTTCATAGATCTTACATTCCAGGGTCCTATGAAGTATTTTTCTTTGCTGCATCAGACTTTCCTTTCACTTCCAGGCACGTCCACAGCTGCGCGTCCTTTCAGCCTTGGCCCAACCACTTCACTGGCTCTGGAGCTACTTGTACTTGTTCTCCACTCTTCTTCAGTAGTATGTTGGATGCCTTCCGACCTGAGGGTCCCATCTTCCAGCATCATATCTTTTAGCCTTTTGTTTCTGATCATGGCGCATTCTCTGCAAAGATACTGGAGTGGCTTGCCAGTTCCTCCTCCAGGTGGATTGTGTTTAGTCGGAACTCTCCACTATGACCTGTCCATCTTGGGTGTCCCTGCATGGCATAGCGCATAGCTTCTCTGAGTTACTCAAGCCCCTTCGCCACGACAAGGCAGCAATCCATGAAGGGGAAAAAATAAAATAAGAAGGTATAAATGAGCTAAAAATACAACCCAAATTAACAGCAGAATCCAAGATGGAAAAAGAAAAGAAAAAAAATAAAAAATATATAAAGGAAAAAGAAAAATAGGCTAGGTGATGGCTGAAGGGAAGGCCTGCCTGTATAGCCATGTCTTCAGATTGGTCTTAAAGGCCGTCAGAGAGAAGGCCAGATGGATCTCTGCAGGTAAATTGTTCCAAACACAAGGGGCCACTGCTGAGAGTGCCCGGTTTTTTAGTTTTTTCCCCTTTGGATCTCTCTTGGTGTTAGGCCCCTCAGCCACCCAGCCTGACTGGAATGGGTGATATGGGAAGAACTAGGTGGAAGAAGGCGCTTTGCCAAGTATCGAGAGTCTAAACCAGTGTGGCATACGTGCCACAGCTGACACTCGGAGACCTCTCCATGGGCACGTGAGACAAAAGTCACCGGAGCACTTTCTTTATTGAGTCAATCCATCTCATGTGCAGTCTTCCTCTTTTCCCGCTGCATTACACTTTTCCCTGCATTGCTGCCTTTTCCAGTGAGCTTGTCTTTTTATGATGCCACTGTAGTACAGTACCCTTTGGTTACTTTAGCTTCTAGTGAAAGTCCACACTTAATGTGCTTTACTTATCTTTCTGACAAGTCATGGTATCTTTAAAACTCGTTTCCAACACTAAATTTCAAATAAGTTAAATGTGTGTATACACTTTATCTAGTGTATAAAATGTAGGTATACACTTTAAAAGTTTGCACTCCTCTATATAGCTGCTTTTCTGAGGGTGGCTTACTTTGGAGGCAACAAGTCCAGGATTTCAATGTACTTAATAAGCTTTATAAATTGTTGTTATTGTTGTTTAGTCATATCCAACTCTTCGTGACCCCATGGACCAGAGCACACCAGGCCCACCTGTCTTCCACTGCCTCCCGCAGTTTGGTCAAATTTATGTTGGTAGCTTTGATGACACTGTCCAACCATCTCGTCCTCTGTCATCCCCTTCTCCTCCTGCCTTCGCACTTTCCTAACATCAGCGTCTTTTCCAGGGAGTCTGGAAACAGTTTGCTTTATAAATAGGGTGCATTGAATTCAGTGTAGCATTTTGCACTTGACTTTTTTCTAAAAGAGCTGTCAGTTGGAAGAATCAATAAAGAACCAGGCAGACAAAATGTGTAAATGTGACAATAATATTTTTGGTAGGGATAGATTTGTATTGGGTGCTTCATCCATCTTTTTTAAAATATAAATTTTGTTTTTTTGTAGACTCCAAATCTTGAACACGAAAGAAATTAGTACAGAAAAAAAAAAACTGAAAACAGATAGTGGGAGATCATTCCAAGAGGCCTGGACAAGGGAGCGATATCTACAATGCTGTGATGGAAGCTTTTTTGTCACAAAGCATAAGAGCAGAAAAAGTAGTTTCAGTTACTAGTGACGGGGCACCTTGCATGGTGGGGATAACATCTGGTTTCATACAGTTCTTTGTTAAAGAAGCAAAACATCCGGTCATTCAGTTTCATTGTATTATACATCGAGAAGCTCTTTGTGCCAGGGAAAACAGCAAAAAATTAGACAATATCCTCAAAGATGCTTGTGTCTTAATTTTCGGCAGTTTTAAGTACTTCTTGATGAGGTTCAGGCACAGTATAATACATTTGGAAAATTCTACAACGTTTACGGACAATCCTACAAGCCATCAGGAAATCTACAAGGAATTTTCTAGCATTGCAGCAGTTGCAAAGGAGAATTTTAGGAACAGATTTTTACAGTTCTGTAAGATGGGGACAACCCTGTGTTTTCTTACTTCTCCAGATAAAGCCAAATTTGAAGAACTTAATCTTTCCTGCTTACAGTGGTTAGATTTTGGAAATCTGGAAATGTAGCTATTGGAATTTGTATCTGGAAAAATAAATTATATGACCTGCATGCAACACTGGAAAAAATAGAGTGTGAAGGGATGCCAAAGGACAACACAGTGGGTAGTTCTGAAAATGAAATCCTTAAAGTGTGGAATTCTCTGCCAAATAATTTTAAGTCAATGAAAGCACTTGGGATTGCTCTTCTTACTTTGTTTGGGTCATCTTATGCTTGTGAGCAGCTGTTTTCAGCTTTGAATTATATCAAATCTGATACCAGAAACAGACTGACAGATGACATGAGTGCTGTATGTGTTGCTCTCAAA